AAAAAAGTTACTTCCCAATCTAGAAATTGTAAAAAGTAACAACCATTATAGTTCTTTAATTAAAAGTTTTAATTTCTCTAAACAGCTATTTTATTTTAAAGTCTTAAAGATTTTAGCCACTTTTTTGTGCTTCCATTTTCTATCAATCATCCTTAGTTTGGAAAACGGACCTCTATGTGCACCAAATTGATGACACTCTTTGAAAACTACATGAAGGCAGTTTTGACGAACAGAGAAACATGAAGCGCAGACAATGTAAAAAGTTGATGACCAATTTTTTTTTACCCAAATGGAAGAACGCCTGCCAAACAAGGAATTTTCCAGGAAATTGTTTACCTCTTTTGCTCTTAAATTTTGAGCGACATTCCTTCCATAAGCAGTAATAAAATTTTTGTCCAGCTAGCTGGGAAAAGTTCGCTAAAACTCACATCTTTTCGTTCATTACCGTTTTTTTCGAATTTCTCCGCAAAAATTTTGTTCCAGCCATTTAACTCGATCTTTTGCAGTTTCGCAGCTCTTGGTACTATTTTCAACTTGTGAGCCTTGTCCTTAATTCTACACACGAGTTACTACTTTAATCTTTTTCGCGATTATTTGGTCCATTCTTTTTGCCCGAGCTTTTCTTTCCATCCGTTTGGGGCAAAGCCCACGTTTTTGGAATCCTTATAGCTGCTCCGGTATAGGATATGCTCGAACAAAAGAGCGCAGTTAATTCCATATAAAAGAATCAAAAGTTGCTCCTTTCCGAGTGTTCACGGGGTCAACCCGAAGTGGTGTCACATATTGCAGAGAATATAAAAAGCAGCAAAGGGATTTGCAAAATTAATTCCCCAATAAAAAATTGTTTAGCTTCCAATTTCATGCATGAAGGCCCACAAACAAAGCATCTATTAATAATGTTAATTTAGTATACATATTACCGCATGTATATATGTATGTATGTAAATGCATATGGGTATTTCTATTCTGGCATTACGTGACACTTGTATGACAAAATGTTAAAAAAATTAGAAGTTCAAAATTTTAAAAAGCTTTTTCTACATTTTTATATCAAGTTAAATGGACCCTTATTCAGTAAAAAATTAGAACTCTCAGTAGTAGCGATTTAAGGATATTAGTGAATCAGCATGGCGTTAAAACACCCAAATTTTAATTTCAAACACCTAAAAAATTTTCCAAATATTAGTCATAGTTATAAGCGATTTGAGTACCATATTTCACTTAAATCCGTGCAGCCGTTTCTATGTAAGAGCGATCACGAATAGTGCAGATTTTTAAAGTCATCAAATTTTAAATCATCCTATGCTGATCAAAAAAGTTCTTAATTAAAAAACAAAAACAAACTTTATCGCACATCTTCAGACTAATGTATTTAATTTTATCTCTCATTTTTGAAATTCCAAAAAACGGTACAAATCTAATGACTATCACAAAAAATTCCTTCTCGTTTAATATACATATATATGTACTTAGTTAGATCAAATCAAAAATCAAAGATATTTTCAAACTAAAGCTTTCACATTTAAATCTCTTTCGATTGACAACCATTTTTTAATATTTCAAAAAACTTGTGTATAAGTTAACTAAGCTCGACTTTTGAAACATGCCACCTGTTCAAACCTCTTCAAAATATTTTCAAAATAAAACCTTCTAAACTCTTTCGTCTGACACCCATATTGTGCTACATACATACATACATACTATGCATGTGTTTCAATTATCCAGTTTCCTTACTTCAAGTCGAATTTGATATTCAGATATCTTTTAATAATCCATACAACTTTTTGAATAATTTGAATGTAACTCTTTAAACACGTGGCAATCGTCTTCAAATATTTATTCTAAATGTTCAAGCTAAAGATTTCTTAACACTCTTTCGCATTTTTATATTTCATATAATTTTTGTATTAGTTAATTAAATTACACTTTTAAAAGAGGTGGCAGTCCTCTTCAAAAATATTTTCAAGTTAAAACCTTGTTAACTCTCCTATTCTGACATTGCGATAGAAATTTGAATTAAGCCAAATCTAATTTTTTTAACATGTGGCAACCCCGTTAAGTGTAGTTCAGAAATATAGACTTTTCAAACTCCTTTGATTTACACCCATATTTTAATAATTCATTTAACTCATTAAATAATTTTAATTTAAGTTTTTAAATAGGTGGCAACCCTTGTCGAACACCTAAAAAACAAACACTCCTTCGTTTGAAATACATATTTTGATATTTCATATAACTTTTGTATAAGTTAACTAAATTCGACATTTCAAGCAGGTGGCAACGCTCTTCAAAATATTTTCAGACTGCTGCCTTCTGAAATCCCTTTCGTTTGGCAACCATATTGGTGATACATATTTCTCTTACCTAATTTTCTTAATTCAAATGGAATTTGATTTTTTAAACAGGTGGCAACCCTCCTATAGTTAATTTAAAAAACAAAGCTTCTCAATCTCAAAACCATTACGATTAGTACTCATTTTGTAATAATAGATTTATTTTTTTATAATTTGAATATAATTTTCTTAAAGGTGGAAACTCGTTTCAAAAAGGTAAAACCTTATTGCCTACAGCCTAAGGCCCTTATTCATAAAAAATAAAGTAGCTTTAAAAAAGGACCTACTTTACTTTTTATGAATAAGGTCATAAGTATTTATTTTTGAAAATTTGATGTATAAAAGTTTTGTAGTAATATTGGAAATGTTTAAGGTTAATTTTCCTAGTTTTTAATGAGGAAATCTTTTCTGCTATATGTTTAATCTGCTGAATTATCTGACGTGACGTTACCTGGCGTTACTTTACTAAAATTTCCATTGAAAATGTTTTGTTAATATTGTTCTTGAAAGAATTTTTAACGGTAAGAAAACACGCATTTCGACCCTGGTGCCACCTAACGAGACCATTTTTGGCAAAAAATTCCTGCTTACATAACCAATATACATATATTGTAAAAACCAGCCAAATCGGCCTATAAATCAGTTAGATATAGGATTTTTTTCGCGGTAGACTTCGCTGGAATCGCCCATATGTGCATACATGTATACATATGTATGTACATTAAGGTGACCAAGATTTGTGTATAAAAAAGAAATCCTTTTTTTTCGAGACACCCTCTGGTGAGATTTTCTAAGCTATCCAACAGTTCGCAATACCTTTAACCCTTAGCATACGAAGCGGCAAAGAGTAATTTCAAGTGAATCTGCCGTAAGTACAACAAACAATTAACCCTTGAATTGTATATGATGATTATCAGATTACTGCAATATGTATATCTCCAGATTATTGAAATATATCTCTCCACCCCCAAAACCTTAATTTTAACAACCATCCAAGGCAGAAATAATTTTGAAAAACCTTAAAAAACGGGGTTATCGTGATACGTGGTTTTGTACTTTAAACGACGATATGTATGTATGTATGTACACACTTACAAAAGCCTCAAACTACGAACGCTAATTGAAAATATTAGCATAGCCGGCAAAAATAATAATCGTTAGCAACTGCTTACGTTAAAGAGATTGTATGTAGGCAAAAGCCAAAATTATAAGAAATGAGTGCAAAGCAACACTTGAAATGATGCCAAAAGTGATTGACTTTGCTAATGGCAAGAAAAAACATAAACAACCAACTGTTTGCTTGCTTTTTTCTTTTTTTGCATTTATTTTGACTTATTTTCTCTCTCTCTATAACCTTTTGAGAAAATATGAAAGGCAATGATTGCGTGAATTTTGTAATGACTTTCGATTTGTTTGTTGTTATTTTGTCTGCATTTAAATAACTTGCCATTTTTTATATTTCTCCGCATTTTATTAAGATTGCACAAGTGGTTTCTTTTGAATTTCAATTGGTAATTAACTCCGAATGATAAGAAA